TGGGGTCCTCCAAGAGCTGCTGGTGGGTCTCTGCTCCACCACTAATCTCCCCGAGGTCACGGGGGCAGTTGGCCACCTCACCACAGGCTGCAGGGCAATCCCAGCTCCGGCACACCTCCTCCCAGTCCAGCTTCACTGTCCTGGGTGTCTGTGTGGCCATTTCTCTCAGGTTTCTTCAGCGTAGGTCCAGCCTCCCTTTGGGTTCCTTTGTCCCCGTCTTAAATAGGGCATTCGTAGGACTTAGCCCCGGCCAGAGGGGATGGGGAGGGTCTCACCTGGCCAGAGGCTGGACCCACCAGTTTTGGAACTGGGGAAGCTTTGCACAGCTACTTACAGGGGCCCCTCCCGTGCTGCCAAACCCCATCACGGAAAGCCAACACATTAAGCTTTTCACAGCTACTTACAGGGGCTGTTTCTGCAGCCCCTCCCGTAAGAGAGAGGCTTCGCAGAGGTGTCTGGCACTAAGAACACCATCTTCTGTGTCTGCTGTCTTTCAAATGAGGTGCCAAACGCCAACTAACTTCGCAGGGTGCCAAGAGGCGTCCTAAATGTCAGCCAGTTCAGCTCAAGCCTGCATGATTTCAGCCCATTACTGCACCCACCTCTGTCCTGTTACTACACAAAAACTGCTCTGTGGTTACCTGTAAACCACTGTTCCACCTCGATGTGACTTTTCAAGCTCTGAGTTCTGCTGATGGGGAACTGCCTTGGGCATGAAGGTTCTGCCCTTGGGGCCAGAGACACAGAGAGATGAAAAAGCTCCAAGTTTTTTGAGTAACTCACGTGTATTCCTTCCTTCAGCCCAATAACAGAGGGGTTGGACCCAACTCTAGACTTCAGATGGGAGGCAAAGCAAAGTACTTTGCTGATGTGGAAAAAGGGAAGGGCAGGAGAACAGCCTGGGCTCTCATCTGCCCTGATGAACACACACCAAAATGAACTCTTCTCATCAAGCACCGATTTCTGCTCCCATGAAGACAAATTGTGACACTAAAGCAGAGCTAAAAGAAAAGAGGCAACACACAAACTCCAGCTTTTGCCTCCACTTGAATACACCTTCCTTGATGGCATCAGGATAATTTGTTGAACAAAAGCCCAACTTTTGGCCCACTTGAGCGCCTAAATCTCAGTTCACCCCAGAAGTCCCAGTGTAATTAAAAGCCTAATTTCATACGGATTTAGTCACAGTGCTGTCGTGCACGGCTGCGCTCGGAACACTCGAGCACAGCCCACTGGAGTCTGAGAACTGTTCCCACTAACACAGCTGAAATACTTGGAGATGTTGCCCCGAAGGTGGTATTTGAGGAGCCCTTCCCTCGTTTCCCACTCCCTTAGTGCAACCAGTGCTGCTCTTTGTGGAGGCAAGCCCTTGATTAAGCAAAGGATATGTTTAGGATAAATAGATTTAAGGCAGATTTAAAATCAATTTAAGTGTGTTCCCAGAGCAGCTTTTCATCCAGTTTTATTAAGCCACAAAAAACCTGTTTGGATATAATAAAATACAGGGAAATCAAGCACACGATGTTCACTGGAGTGCGACTTCTGGCACTGCGGTGGCTGAGGGCCGGTTCTCATGCAATTCCGGAAATAACCGCGCTCCACGTTACGGTGAGTCTCATTACGGATAAGCTGCTCACGCTTTGGGAGTCACAACACTGGCAATCCAGGCTCAATTTTCAAGTTTAATGAACATTATTTACCGACTCCTGACTTCACGCTGACAAGCACTTTTCAAACGGCAGGACATCAGCTCCCAGCCTGCATGCTCTCCAAAGTTTGTCTTTCCAGATGCTTCCTGGTCCTGCTACCAAAGGGTCAGAAGTCATTATCACTTTCCTCTAGCGGCTCTGGCTTCCTTGCTCGGTGACCGGATTTGTTTGGGGAGATTTCCACGCTGTCATCTTCCATATCATCCTCCTCCTCGTCTTCATCCAGGTCAATCTCACTATCCCCTGAGTCCTCCTGCAGGAAAGCGAACAGAATTCATGACCAGTTCAGTTCTCAGATGGCAAAGCACCTTTGCCAGCTCAAAAATAAAGGATGGTGCTGCTGGCTGATGTGAAGCCACTTCCTCCCTTGTGCTCCGTGCGCTCACACACCCAGGGGCTATGGGGAAGGCTGTCTGGACTGGTACCGATCCAGATTCGGACTCTCTCCAGAGAGCAGCAGCAGATTCTGCGAGAGGTTTTGTTCCAGCTCAGGCTGCTGAGCTGCTGGCCTTCCGAAATAATGGAAAGCCAGAGCTCAGCTGCCTCTGGGAGCAGACGGCCTACGTGGCTTTCACCAGCAGCTCCCCACTTTGCTAGAGAGTGGCTGCTCCATTCAATTTATCGCAAACCTCCTTCCCCGGCTTCACGGGGCTCACAAAAACGAACTCCCTGACTTCTGCTGAAGCCGTGGTATTAAAATCCTTGCAGGGTGTTTAGCTTTATAGCAATACCTATTGTGAGACCGAAGACTCAAGGCATAGTGGAAGAAAATGAACTGTGGGAGAGAAACCCACCTGTGCCTCAGTGATGGTCTTGCGCGTGCCTGGCCGTGCTGGGGCAGATCCCCCCTTCGAGCACCAGAGTGGACAGAACAGGAGAGGCAGAGCAGGGGAAAAAAAAAAGTACAAGAACGTAAAAGAAAACAGAAAGTAACCAGGATGGGAGCAAGGGAGAAGGCAGCAAAGCCAGGTACAGCTCAGGCATCATGTGCCACACCAGCAAGTGACAGAGGCTGGGCACACAGCTGTGGGCTCTTGGGCAGGAGGAAGCCTGCTCTCCTCTCAACTCCATAACCTGATGAACTCTTTGAGGGGTTCCAACCAGCCTCACTAGTTTCCTTCCCTGATCTCAGACACACAGATGCCTGCAAGGGTCCCTAAATAAGCCTCTCAGCTCTGGTGCCCGCTGAGGTGCTGTATTAAGAGGGCAGAGCCATGAGACAGCTAAAGTGGCTGCAGTTGAGGGCAATAAAAGGCTGAAGGCCTTGGCTTTCCACACCTGGATATGCTGGGGCTGTGCCAACAGGGAGACACAGGAGAATGCTGTGAGCAGGAAAGTCCAAAGGGGAGGAAATTGCAGAGGATGACTGTCTAAATCTGCCAAGAACACGGTCAAGGACAGTCAGGCAGCACCATGAGAAAGGTCACCATGTCTTCACCTACGGCGCTGGTGCTCCTGACCCTACCCAGAAATGGGTCCGAATGCCAAGGGCAGAAATCATGCCCTGGAAGGCATCAAACAGCCTTAACCACATCCAGAGGCAAACAGCAGAACATGGTCTGCAAGTTCCTTCCCAGAGAAAAGGTGAGGATGGGCAGAAAGAAGGGCGGCTCGGCCCTCTCTAGCAAGAGACTTAATTCCCTTCGTGCTGGGGGGTGCCTCCACACCTCTGCAATGCGCACTTTCTGGCAGTGGTGTCTTCTCTCTTCTGGCCCTGCCTGCAGGAGAAACAGTCTGCCGAGAGCTTTGCAGGGCTCACCCAGCAGTGTAGGCACCATGGCAAAGGGCTTCTGTACGCGGTGCCCTGTAGAGACACCTACACATCCTGTAGAGGTGCATTCCCTCATCCACTTCCCTCCCATTTTAAACCTCCTTGGGACCCTGGAGCTGTGCTAGCTCACGGCTCACCCATTAACCTCTGCTTCCTGATCCAAGCCAGCCTGCTCCCCCAGCGTCTGCTGTCTGCAACGGGCACTTGTGAAGGGATTTCTCAAAACCAAATTCTTTGTTTCAGAGTGGATTGATTTCTGTGCCACAAAGGCAGTACCGAGAGAGACGGATAATCCCCCAGCAGCACTGGGCTTCTTGCTGGGCCCAGAGAAGATGTCTGAACTCCTGGCATGCCCTCCTCATCTAGACAGGCAGCACTGGCTGGGGTGTCTGCGGGACAGCGAGACAGAAGGGCTACATCTACACTAGGATGTAGTGCAAATACAGGTTCAAATACAAGTTCACAATCATCACACTTTTCCAGTGTTTGTACTATTTCCTGGGACACTCTTGGCCTGGGCCAACCAGCACTCTCCAAAACGATATTCCAGCATCAGCTGGGGAACAGAACACCCCCACATTGCTCCTGGTTGGCAGCTTGGATGCAAGAACCTTTTTGGGATGGCAGGGAGAGCTTACTGTATGGATGCAAACCGTATCACAGCAGCTGGCTTCAGCTTCCTAGGACAGACAGAGCCATGCAGGAGCGCCCAGAGGCATAGAAAGACTGCCCGTATGCCAAAGGAGTGGCCCATATGCCAAAGGCTGAGCACAGCAGTCACGACCTGCTCTACAAACCTGCCTGTACCTGTTTAGCCACTGTCCTCTCACCAGTCAACTGTAACCAGATGCAAAGGCGGGAGCCACGGGACAGCTTTGTGCGCAAGGCAGGGATCCCAAGGGGCACAGCTCGCAGTGCAGCCCTCATCCCTGTCCCATCAGCTGGAAGACTGATGCTGTACATTAGTACAGGCCACTCAGAGGGCTCCAAGAAATGTGATTTTAGAGCAATGCAGTGATTTAGATTCACACATCTGACTCCCGCTACATTGCCCTGATCCCCTCTCCCCAGCACTCCCCCCCAACAGCTCAACAAAACAGCTTTTCTGCAGCCTGTGTGCTGTAGTTATACACTGCAGGCGGAGGTTAACGCACGAAGCAGTGCATAGAGACTCTAAGAGCAAAATAAAAACAGGAAAATATGCATTTATGCAGATGAGACAGCAGTCAGTTGGAGGAAAAGACGGGAAAAGCAGGCCTGGGGCATGAAGACCGAGCAGGTAAAAGGGGTTTCTCTAGCTGAGGAGAGGGCTGTCATACTAAAGCACTGTCAGAGAAGCTCTGCAGGCACATGGGATGGTTACTTACATCTTCCTCCGTGTCTCCACCTTGCATCGTTCCCACAATCCATGTGCCAGCTCTTCCTGCAAGAGCAAAGAGAATCACCATAAAGTCTGGCTCACGGTTAACACCAAGGGAAACTGAAAGACGAAGTTCAGGATTTATGTTTTAGGGGACTAATTGAATGGCAGTGACAGGATGAGATCCCAGCACATGTAAAGTCACCCTCCTTGTTTAGTCTCAGAGCTCAGAAGGTAGAATAGGGTAAGGCTGACAGTAATTCCAATCAGGATAGTATTTCCAGAGCTACCTTATGCTGGTATGACAGTTCCGACAGGACAAGAGGCAATAATGCATTAACAAACTGGAAATTCTATTTGAACACAAGAAACCATTTTATTTTTACTGTGAGGATGGTCAAACACTGGAACAAGATTGCCAAGACAAGTTGTGGAGTCTCCATCCATGGAGATATTAAAAACCCAACTGGATGTGGTCCTGGGTAACCTGCTTTAGCTGATCCTGCTTGAGCAGAGGGGTTGGACTAGATGATCTCAAGAGGTCCCTTCCAACCTAAGCAATTCTGTGAGCTGGCATATTCCTTCCTCTGCTTTGGTGCACAGAGAACAAAAGCCCATCCTTTCCATGCGGTAAGCTTTCTGTCCTTTAGAGAGCTCACTGTGTTCAGATCCTTTCTGGTATTGCAGCAGGGAATGACCATCTTCCAGGACTCCCAGGCAGTGCCCAGGCAAACCTCAAGAATGTCTTGTTGCGAGTTGGAGGTGTAAGTCTGAAGAGGCAGGTGGAGATCTCAGGGTTGCAGAGAGTTCACTGAAAAGGGAGAACATGCTTGCACCTTGTTTTGGTGCTTTTGGCTACGTAGAGGCCATAGGAAATGGGGAAGACACTAGTGTGGTCTCCTTGTCTAGAAGAGAGCCCAAAAGGTGTTGGGAATGGGTACAGTAGAGTTGTGACCCAGGAAATTCTACGTGTGGGCTGTCTGGGTGACTCAGCCCTGCCTTCTGCGGCCACCAGAAGTCACTCAGCGCCAACCAGAACAGTCCTGCTGTGACCATCACATGTCACCATCTGTTTACCTCCTGTCATCACTAGTTTTCTCTACAAGAAATATGGATTTTTTTCTAATCCAGACAAAATCTATTTTACTATTTTAGCATGAAAACAAAGCAACTTTATAATATATCCTGTCAAACCTCTTTTGTACCTCTCAAAGTACAGAAGACGACAGGTCCCTTTTGTCCCTTTTGCAGACTATTTGGGTTAGTTGTAGCAAAAAGCTGGCTAACTCACCCAGAAGTCACCAAAAATCCCTTACCGTATCAAGGCAGATAATTTAAAGGATCTTACGTCCCTAAATAAAAAGCAATGTCCTCTATCCATCTGGTTGCTGATAACACAGGCAGTGGAGATGGAATTATAAGATTCCTGAGCAGAAGATCTCTCGTCAAGCTTTAGAGACATTTGCTCTAACATATGCTAGACTAAACTGTGTAAATTTGGAGACAATTACAATTGACATCATTTGATGACCACAAAACGACATTTTTGCCCAACCTACAGGTGGCTCCAATTTTGCTACGTAGAAGGCTCAGCATGAAGTGTTAGATTGGGAATTATTACCTCCAAGAAGAAAGCAGCAGGGAGCTCATAAAGTCTACTGATAAAACAAAGCTGAGAGAGATCCTAGATATGAAAGAGAATCAAGATGTCCCATAAGGAGAGGTGATGAAATAGAACAGTTCAAAAGTGCCAAGGGAAGAGCTTAGAGAGTGCTAACAGAAGGTCTGCAGGATGCTGGGTGCTGCTCTCCCATCAGTGGAGACAGTATGGACACCTTATGGGCATCCAGCTGCTTACATTTGGAGGAAGATGAGAATCAGGTACTGCCCAGACTTTGATTCCTACACTGTTAAAGCCAGGAGCATCTCTCTGAACTCACCACTGTGGGATCAGCAGGATTAGGTCCTGTAGCACAACCCTGGGACACCCCAGGGTGCAGAGGACCTGGGGCTGCAGACTAAACAGGAGAGAAAGCACATTTTTCACATCAGTAGAAAAGCTTCCGTGACAGAGGCGGGAGCGTTATTTTAACTTTCAGATTGTAAACCCCCAAATTTCCGTGTGTGGGAGCCAGAGGAGTGCCAGATGGCCACAGTGCGTTTCCGCGTGCACCGGCGGCGGGGGGAGGCAGGAAACAGAGGAGTCGGTGGTACAGGACAGGGAGAGCTGGCAGGTACGGGGTGTCTGTCACTTGAAATGTCCTGGGTTCCGTTTAGCTCTGGCCGCAGAGGCTCACGCAGCTTCCGACTTACAGATAGCGTGATTCCAGCCGGGACAGGCTGCCCAAAGCCATAACTGGGTAAAATGGCAGTCACAAACAGCCTGTAATTCACTGCACCTTTGGGTTCAAACCTAATCTCCGTGCCTCGCCACGGTTTACAGCCACCGAGCCATAAAGTTCTGCTCAAAGATCAGAAGCGAACGTGCAACTGTGGTTTGAACCCTGTGACCGTCTGCCGTTTCCCTCCGCGTGCGAGGCTCGCCGTGGTGCTAACCGGTGCAGCTGCCCACAACCGATCCACAGGACCAGAACGATGGACATCTCCTTACCCAGCAGTGGGTATATCTTAACCCTCTGCCTGACAGCAAGAAGCGATGCTTAACCTGAGACATTAGCAACCTACCAGGAGGGGAAAGGGAATTTGCAGGGGAAGCATTTTGCTCCCACTTTGGAGATCTGCAGCCAGTGTCCAGCTCTTAATGCAAATCCGCAGCGGGAGCTCAGATAAGACACCTCCCTTCCTTCCGCACCGCCTCCGCACACAGATAATCGGGATAAATCTTTTGCCTGATCTGTCTGATCCGTGTGTCCTTCGGGCACTGCGTCCTCAAGCGCGAGCGTGGCCCGTGGCGCACGGCCCTGACCTCAGCAGCAGTTTCTAGGCATTGCCGAGGTACAGGGACTCATTAAGCACACGACGGCTGCTGCCCGGGGTGAACTTCTATTTATTTTCCTCCATGAGAAGGAAATTTGCTTGGACATGACCTACCTGCCTCCCACCATTTCTGACCTACCACCTCTCCTCCTTCTCCACGAGGACCAGCGTCGCAATGGCCGTAATACCAGCCGCAGGTGTGGAGAAACATCTCCTCCCTCCCAGGGAGCACTTAACTTTGCTGACACAAAACATACAGCCAAAGACAGCTCTGTCGGGAGCAGTTGCTGAGATGGTGGGAGGAAGCTCTATTTCAAGTTAAAACAAATTAATTTCTGTGAATTCCAACCACAGCCCCTTCTCGGTGTTTCCAAATGCACTTGATTGCCCCCCCCTTCCCCAGCTATGTGAGCCTGGTTATCACAGAATGGTTTGGGTTGGAAGGGACCTTCAAGACCATCCAGTTCCAACCCCCCTGCCATGGGCAGGGACACCTCCCACTACACCAGGTTGCTCAAAGCCTCATCCAACCTGGCCTTGAACACTTCCAGGGATGGGGCAGCCACAACTTCTCTGGGCAACCTGTTCCAGTGCCTCACCACCCTCAGTGTAAAAAATTTCTTCCTCAGATCTAATCAATCTGCCCTCTTTCAGTTTACAGCCTTTGTCCCTTGTCCTATCACTACATGCCCTTGTCTGGGGTTACAAACAATAACCATAAATCCCACACAGAAAGAAAAGGTAGGAAGAGCTCGGCGCCCAGCAGCGCCTGTCTCACCGCCCCTGCTCATATCTGACTCACCTCTGCCCACCTGACACCACGTCAGGTCTACAGCTCTCCCTTCCCTACAGACATCAGAATCTATTTTGGCCTCTAACGTGTGAGAGGCAGAGTTCCTGTGGGCCCCACGGAGCACGTGAACTGCAGACTCCCAGTATTTTTGAGACTCAGGCTGCGCCATGCTGGGACATCAGGAGGACACTGACAGTTTCTCGAGTCTGCGTTGAAGTTTGTGTGTGCAACAGACCCTTGGCAAACCCTCCCCAGTGGCACGTCGGTTATCGAGCGTGGCATGACTCGGAACAAGACATTTTCTTCTGGTTTTCAGCGACACAAACTCCACGTACTCTGACTGCAGGAGTGGGGAGACCCTGATCACAGCTTCTTAAAGGTTTCTGAACAGACTGGTTGGGGGAATGACCCAGGAACTGTGAAGAAGGAGACCGCATCCTGCACTAGGTTCCATGCCAGTAAGATGCAGCTGTCCCTACAGATGAAGCTGAGAGATCAGGGATGGGATCATACAGCATTTGAATGATGCCTAGAGAACTGCAGTGGGATTCAGCACGGCTTTTTAATCAAGACTCGTTTCCACAATGGAGAAGAACACTATTTTGAGAAAACCTGAAGATTTGTTATCATCTTGTATTTAAAAAGCTAAATGCACTTGTATACGTTTCTTAGTCTTGGACTCAGACATGTAATTTGCTTTAGGAACCAGAGAGAAGGGAAAAAACAGTCTAGTTATTTAACATGTTTTTTAAAAAATTCAGCAGGTGACAGCCACAGGAACTCAATGTGAACAAGACATCCAACAAGGAGCAGGCAGCTGCTGCACATTCCTAATCGAATCCCTCCACTCCCCTGCATACTGATGGCACATCTGTGGCTTCTACACACCTGAGGAGGAAAACTTTCTAGAAATTCAGTAGCAGAAGTCTAAACATGGTCATGAGCTAGAGAGAGGATTTCCACAAGTGCAGTCTGACCATTTCCACTGAGATCAGGACTTTTCCTACTCCTCAGCCTGCATGCTATACGGAGGCATTTGCAAACAGGACTACGTAGGCTCTCCTGGAAAGATTTCTTGCTATTATGTCAAAACTCCAATTCTCTCTACAGGACTGAAAAACTGATTCAGCCTCCGTAACCTTCCCCCCAGCACGCAGGGTACCTTCAGCCCTTTCCCCCCATGTCTGCTGCCAGCTCCTACTTAATAATCACAAGCTCAAGCTTCAAAAGAAAACTGAGACAGGGAGGCTAAACATCACAAACATCACCACCATCTCAAAACACCGAGTGTCTGCTACAGAAGCATCAGCAGCATGCTTTGGGTACGTGCTGCTCTGCCTACACTGCTTCTGTGAGATGCAGGTGTCCAGGACTGGGCTCCCTGCAGGCCTGGCTGCAGCACAGGAGCAGCTGGCACTGCCAAGCCAGCCCATGTCCGCAGGGACACGGGACCACACTGTCTGCCTCTCAACTCACCTCTGGTTTGATTGTTGCATATTTGGTTCTGCTTCTCCCTAGGAGGTACACTTGGCTTTCTTAATAAAACCCCTTTATTGTCAACTGCTGCACCCAGAGACATAGTACTTCTTGCTGTGTTAAACAATTCAGGTTTTCACAGACAAAGATTTCATCCGTTGGGTAGTAAGACTCGCTAACCTGGCTGCCAGCACATCACTGATCCCCTGGGTCAGTTCTGCAAACGTTAAGAGGCTCCAGGAGAGCTGCTCTCTCACTGTTTGACTTCGGACTGCTTGCTTACTGGAAAACAGTCAGAGTTTTATAATGCTGTCTTCTTCCTATAGAGACCAAACGGGTCTGATGATGTTACTGTCTTGGTAGTGAAATGGTCTCTGTGGTGCCAACAGGACAAAAATGCCCCTTAACGTTATAAAAGGGAAGATAAGAGCCCCGCCGACGTTACGAAAGAAAACAGAAGAGCTAAAGCATTCGGATAATTGGTTTACAGGAGCTGAAAGATCCTGGCAAAGTGGAATAGAGGGTGATTTACTGTAGACAGGCACAGCTCCACAGTTCTGCAAGCGTGGATCGTTTCTGCTCCATTCAGTAGCACTTCCACTGCCAACCTTGTCGGAAGCACAGCGTGAGCCCGTGTGCCATGGCCTCCCCGATCAGTCAGGAGAGGAAAGATCCTGAATTTGATCATGATTCTAAAATGCATTTCAGAACTCTGGTCTGAATGAGAGTGGGAAGATGGATCTGCACACGTAAACACAACATCGCTTCAAAATCTGCCACTTTTGATAGCACAGATGAAAAAAATCCACTTTAATTTGAGGGGCAACTGGAGAGGTTCTTAGAAATAAAACCACCATCTACTGAGAGTTTGACTGAATTAGTGGAAACCACATCCAGCTCAGGAAACTCTGATGGGGGTTCAAATAGTTGAGAGCTGGAGGGAACCTGAGGGAAGTTCTTACACTCTTCCCCAGGCATTTTCTTTCAGCCAGTGCTGGAGACAGAAGCCCAGGCTAGAGAGACCTCGTGCCTGACCTGGCATGGCAGCTTCTACCTTCCTCAGACAAGGTTTTGCATTCTCCACCCTGATATCCACCCCATCCACACGTGAACAACCATCTTGCTGCAAACTACTGGTTTATGGCCTGTTTCAGGCAAGAGGTTTCTCTACGCTGCAGACTTAAGTCCTTCAACGTGGAAGAGCAACTTCTTCTCTGGTTCTCTGACAAAACAGAGTCTTATTCCAAATGCTGTCAGTAACGCACGGTTTGACCTCAGGGAAGTCCACGCATCTAATTTATTTGTGTAACAGCCTCACTTATCTATTATGAGACAGAATAAAAGCGGATGTGAATTTTTACTTACAGTGATTTTGTTCAAATTTAAAGTTACAGATGATAAAAATCAACATATTCAAGTTACAAAAGCAAATGATTAGTGACACACAGATTTATTATAATAAGCCCGATCAAGGAGGGACTTGCCTGCGATTGTGACATTGTGACAACAAAACAGGTTGTAGTTTCACAAACCCAGCCAAAACCAGCATCCGTCAGTTCGGTGACTACCTTCCCAACCATTGATTCTCACCCCATGCCTGCTCCCTCCTCGTACAGAAGCTGTCCTGGCTTCCTAAAAGTGGGTTTGCTCTACTGCTGAATCAGAACCATTGAACTCAAAGGAGATACAGGCTCCACCGTGCGTTACAGGTTCCTCCTTAACCTGCCACCGCCTATTCCTCTTTGTACACACGAACGAGGGTTCCATTTTCCCTCTGTGCCACAGGAGCCAGCAGCCTGCCACATCTCCCCCAGCTAACACACTTTTCTGCTCCGTGGGAGACTAAATCCTATACCTTCAAGTCTTTTAATTGGCAAAAAGAATAAAACCAGGAGCAATATTGTTGAAGCTGCATTTAGTTTGAATTTTGCTGCATCTGGACAAACCAGAGGAAAGGACTCTCGAGGGTGAAAGTGTGTTGATTTTTCTCGATTATACCAAGTGGCCTAATAAGAGAGATTATCTCCCCCTGAGAATCTCACCTCTATAATGGCAAAACACACCAAAATACCTGCCCACCTATTACAGAGAGAGGAAGGAAGTCTTCTCTTACAATACTAACAACCTGGAAATCAGAGACGTAAAACTGAATCACAGCAACTACAGGAGCTGACCACAGTGGACCATTTCTCCTCAGTTTGAGAGCAAATACAGCTCAGAAGCACCATCATGTAAGAAAACACAAAGCTGCAAAAGAGTGATTGAAGCATCTTGAATTGAGTCAAGGAAAAAGGCACTAATTAATATAAATAATTTTCTTGTTATGCTGCCTTAATAATTAATTTTATTTTAAAAGCAAACTTCCTGTGCTGAAGAACATGTACAGATCCTTGGTGTGGTTAATGACAAATAGCCAGTGAACCTTCAGGACTGATTTTCTAAAGAAGCTGATGCACCTGACATTAATCTCCAGTCTTGACATCTCTCCAGCACCTCAGTTGGTGGCGTGGTATGGACAGAGAACTCGCTGTTAATCTCAAAGTGTAGCTACAGCTAGAGCAACTGGGTGACTTGCCCAAGATGATGACAAGTAATCTCAGCAAAGCAGAAGTGAGCCAAGAAGCCATCCCTTAAGAGTCTAACAATATTTGTATCCATCTCTGCTGGCAGGGATTGCATTGGAGTATTGTAGGACTGGTGTTGTGAACGGGGGTATCATAGAACCACAGAATGGTTTGGGTTGGAAGGGACCTCAAAGATCATCCAGTTCCAACCCCCCTGCCATGGGCAGGGACACCCTCCACTACACCAGGTTGCTCAAAGCCTCATCCAACCTGGCCTTGAACACTTCCAGGGATGGGGCAGCCACAACTTCTCTGGGCAACCTGGTCCAGTGCCTCACCACCCTCATTCTAAAAAATTTCTTCCTTAGATCTCATCAAAATCTACCCTTACTTAATCAAATACAACCTTACTCCTTCTGGAGGACCTGTAGGAAGTTATCTCAGGAGCCATTTAACATACCTGGAGCTGCTTCAGTAGTTCACAGCAGGTCAGAGGCAAAAAGAGGACAAAGAGCTAAGGACAGCTTCCAACTCACACAGAGGTAAGGAAGGTAAAGATCGGGATGGCGACTGTGTAGTCAGCAAACAGCAAGCTCCGAGTACTCAAAAGTCAGAGGATAATTATCTGCCAGAATTAATTTACTAAACACTAGGAAGAGACCTACAAAAGCACAGAAGGCAATCTAAACAGCATGGCAGAGAAAACATCTCTGGGGTTTGAGCTGCTTGCTTTAAGTGTGACAAGCTAGCGCCGAGTCCTCAGTGAATGTAATTAATGGTAACAAAGCCCTTCCTAGAAAAAATTCTACTTGCAACAAAATCCACAACTTTCATAATAAAGCTTTTCGCTCCTAAAACCGATATTAAAAGCTGACTCTGGCTGCAGCCAGTACCCGTATCACAAGGTTATGAAGTCCTCTGAGATGAGGCATCACAGACTGTTACACAGTCACCCCCAAAGCTCTAAAAACTGTGTATAAATCTTTCCTTCAGACACTGCAATGTAAAAATCCTGAGTGAATATCAGCATTTCTAGCACTTCAAGAATTTTCAAGTTTAATGAAAAACAGAGGAACACAAAAACGCTTGAATTATATTGACTTGAGAACATCAGCTTCTTGCTCTGGTTTCAGTCAAAGGGGAGAGCAGAACTCAACTCAGAAAAACCCACGTATTTCCAGTTTGTCTAAGTAACAGGTTCCAGCAGAAGTAGGGGCACATGAAATTACCCACACAGGCACTTCATCCACATCCCAGAGAGGCTTTTGCTGATGGTCTGAATCCCTGACCACTAACAAGAACGCCAAGGAGAACTAAGCTGATTTCCTGGTTTCATTTTGCTTGACTACAGACCAAGCAGGATGTTTCTTTTTCCACCTCAGTGAAACACAGACCCTCAGAGAGTAAGTTCTCCGAGTTGCTTCTGCCCAGGGCTGTAACCACATAAACAGCAGCAGAAGCCAGACGTCCTTCCCTGAAAAGAATAACTCATGTGTTGCACCCGTGACTGTGTCAGTGCAGGTGGCTTTACAGAGCTGCCAAAGGTCTCCGTTTGAAGAAGACTCTACTAGAATGAGTGTCAACAGCTGAAGGGAAATAAATGCTTTGCAATGAGAAATGGTATTACTTTTCTAAGGCTTTGCATAAAGCTACTTCAGGAATGTGGAAGGCAATACCAAGGAAGGAATCTTCTCACACAGTACTTTTTTCAGTAAGAAATCCTGAATTGACTCCCCTGAAAGCACTAGGTTTTCTCCACAAGACACTATCCTCTTACAGCTCATAAGTGCTGAGCAGTGCCAATATCCTCCAACGATAACAGGGTCTTCTTACATTGAAGGTTACTCAGATAATTCCAGCATATCCTTCTGAATAAAGGCAACTAAGGAAAGGTTAAGGTACCTTTCAGCAGTGTTTCTGCGGTGGTGCGGGGCTTCATGATCTGCCTGTCTTCCACTTTACTATCGGATCCATCATCTTCTTGAATCTCTATGTCGGAATCATCGTTATCTGGTTAAAACAAAAGCAGTTGACAAATATCACTCAAACCAACCCACAACTCAGAACAGCAGTTGGACACGAGATGTGCTAGCAGTCTCTACCTTTGTTCAAGTCCAAGATTAATCGAAAACGTGGTTGC